CTTATCTATCTGAGCAAGATAATTAAGTCAAATTAACTTAATTGAATTGCTCACCTTATCCATCCTTAGTTTGCTGGCAGCTTAGGGTGTGTGCGTGTGTGCATTCCCCGTACCATCTCCGAGCACCGGAAGACCGCCCGCCCTTCTGAGTGTAACTGATCTTTGCCGACTCCTGGCTGGCTCGCCAAATTTGTTGTGGTTTTCATTCAGACATTTCATAATATTAGGTTCCCCCATCCTCAAGCAGTTGGAGAGAGGCAGATTCTTCAGACAATTAGGCTTTATTGAGGCATATTGATAAATATAAAGCAGAGTTCTTTTTGCGCAAGAAGAACTGACATTTTTCTTTTCACACCCAGTTTTTATACCTTCATCAGAGGAAATATCTTCCAAATATGGTCTTTCCACCTTCTCATTCTCACGCTACAACAGGACAGGCAAACCAAAACACTGCCAACTTCCCTTGAGAACTGCAGCCAAAAGATAAGCATGCACATCACTAAAAAGGACAGGAAAATTACAGTCAAGAGAGGAAAAATACAGCCAAAGGTATAGGATACACATGGATACATGAATGATTCAACTGATTATGTTTTCAGTAATAACTAATGATTTTACTGAAAAAATATTGATCAAAGCTACAGAAATCAAATACGTCACCTGATTATGTTTTCGAATCAACTAAACAGAAGCCTGCTTACTAATCAAAGCTACAGAAGCCTGCTGCCTGTGTGTGTGAGCTAATCAAAGCTACAGAAGCCTGCTGCTTGTGTGTATGAGCTGCTTATACATGTGTGAATTGAATTGCTTGTATGTGTGTGTGTGTGTGTGTGTGTGTGTGCATGTGTATATGTGCTGCTTGTGCCTGTGCGTGTGTATGTGTGTGTGCATGTGTCTGTGTGCACTGCTCATGCGTGTGTGAACTGCTTGTGTGTTTTATGTGTATGTCTGTGTATGTGCATGTGTACGTGTGCCTGTGTATGTGTGTGTGTGTGTTACTGCTGCATACATAATATGGTTACTGATTATGATTATTGATTATGGTTATTGATTTACTGATGAATAGGATGAGAGATATTGAAATATGGTCCTCAACATTACCTTGGCCAGGTCTCTCTTGTAAAAGAGATTCTGAATCTCAATGGGACTCCCTGCTTAAAAAAAAGGAAAATAATAAATAAATAAATAATAACTTTCTCTGATCATTAGTCAATCAATTTCATGCTTTAGAATTTCCTTCGATTGACTGAATAGTTTTGAGCACAAATAAATATTTCTTTATTTACTTATTGTTTAACAAGACTTTCAGCACTTCAAGGCTATTTCGTGTCACTCTACACTTTCCTGAGCACATGCCACCTTTTGAATGTGGGAGAAACCCTACACTAACACTACCTCCTTACAGTCAAATAATTTTCTCCTGCTGTCCACCAATGATCCTGCCATTCTTTATGTCCCAGATATGGGAAACGGGAGTTTCTGGTCTCAGTTTCGTGAACCATACCTTGGACTGTGCAGAAGCCTGTTCTGTTAAAATAAATGACATGTTTTGGAAACATGTTCAACCTTTTTCATCCAAGACTGAGGTTATGCCAAATAAATAAATAAATACTTTTGATGTCTTTTTTCTGCCAGGTCTGAAGATGATGTGAAATTGAGAGTAAGGAGTTGATATCTGATGCTGATGCATCGTTATTCGCCGAGTCTGTGGGTGCGAAACCAAAGCCAAGCAAACTCAGAGACAGCTACACACAATAAATGCCATAAAAGCAAGGCCTTAGTCAGAGTCAGGTGACTTCCAGTAAAAATGAGTGTTTTTACTTGAGCTTGTGTGCGTGTGTTTGCTTGTGTGTGAGCATGTGTCAGTGTGTGTGTCTTGGTTTGTGTTTCTGTGTGTATGTGCCTGCATGTGTATGTGTATGAGTGTGTTTGTGTATGTCTGCTTGTATGTGTGTCTGAATGCGTGTCTTTGTATGTGCTTGTGTTTGTATTGGAAGCATAAGTTTATGTGTGTGTGTGTGTGTGTGTGTGTGTGTGTGTTTGTGCACTTGCACATGTGATTGCATGCACCCAAGTGTGTTTATCGGTGCGTGCGTGTGTTTTTGTCTCTCTGTTTTATTTGTTTTCTTAATTTATGATTCCACTCTTATTTTCCCCTCATGCTTTTGCAGAGGAGAGCTTCCCTTTAAAGAACAGAAACTGAGGTGAAGCAATAATGAAAAAAAAGGTATCTGGGTTGGAAAAATTTCCCTTTGTGGTTTTCAAACCCTTTTGGTATAAACCAAAGGCACCCTGTGTACATCAGATTAGTCAGACAGCCCCTTCACATACGAGCACCCAGTGCTTGAAGATGAAAATTCAGGCAAGAGAGAAATCTTTTGGTTTCCTGTTATACGCAGCGCATAAAGTAGCAAAAAAAAAAAAAAACAAATAGAAAAAATCCCGTACATGAGATGTTCCATCAGCGTAGTGCTGCAGACTTGTATTTTATATAATATCTGTGCAGAGATTAAATGCTTTCAGAAGTGCATTAAGAAGAGCCAATGATGCAGCATAACATATTTAATCTGCAGGCACAGGAACCAAAAGGAAATTAACCAATTTCATTGTTTGAATATATTAATTAAAGGTATTTAACCTCTTACGCCCTGAGCCTCTGGTTCAAAAATGACGTGCCGAAAATGAAATGAGTATATCTCTGCGACTACTTTGTCTATTTGAATAATCTTGGTATCATAATAAAGGTAACACCTCGGGGATTTTTGTCATGGTGAAAGAATTAGTGTATATGTTTTTGAGTCAGAGTAAATGAAGACAGAACACAGCATAAATGAAACATCCCATGTGCACCTAACAAAGTTTTACTTTTATCCTTTTTTTAAAATATTCAGTTGCAATCTGAAACCTCTAAAAAATTACAGCGCATAATCTCATGATTATCTGTGCCAAAGTTTATTTTAACCAAGTTAAATCAGAGCAAAATTAGAGAGGTTTTAGTTCAGGAATGTCTAGGTGGCCTCTCCAAACTAGCACTGTGTGCCATTTCATATTTCTCAGGTACCAAACTGTAAAACTCATTTAATTGCACTTATACAGTGCCCTCAATAATTATTGGCACCCCTGGTTAAGATGTGTGCTTTAGCTTCTAATAAATTCAGTTTTTTTCTAAATAATATAGGACCACAATGAAAAAAAGAGGAAAATCCTACCTTTAATTCAAGTGCATTTATTCAGTGGGAAAAAAATCCCACATTAAGAAATAATTCTTTTACATCAAATCATGTGTGCCACAATTATTAGCACCCCTGATGTTAATACTTTGTACAACCCCCTTTTGCCAACAAAACAGCACCTAATCTTCTCCTATAATGTTTCACAAGATGGGAGAACACAGAAAGAGGATCTTGACCATTCCTCTTTGCACAATCTCTCTAAATCATCCAGCAAACCGGGTCCTCTCCTCTGCACTCTCCTCTTCAGCTCACTCCACAGGTTTTCAATGGGGTTGAGGTCTAGGGACTGAGATGGCCATGGGAGGAGCTTGATTCTGTGTCTGGTGAATCATTTCTGTGTAGATTTGGCCACATGTTTAGGGTCATTATCTTGCTGAAAGACCCAGTGACGACCCATCTTCAGCAATCGGGCAGAGGCCACCAGATTTTGATTTAAAATGTCCTGGTATTTCAAAGCGTTTATGATGCCATGCACCCTAACAAGGTTCCCAGGGCCTCTAGAAGAGAAACAGGCCCACAGCATCACCGATCCTCCCCATACTTCACAGTGGGCATGAGGTGCTTTTCTGCATACTCATCTTTTGTGTTCCACCAGACCCACTTAGAGTGTTTGTTGCCAAAAAGCTCTATCTTGGTCTCATCTGACCAAAGCACATAGTCCCAGTTGAAGTCCCAGTACCGCTTAGCTTAACTCCAGACGTTTATGTTTATGATTGTGAGTGAGAAAGGTTTTTTCCGTGCATGCCTCCCAAACAGCTTGTTGGCATGTAGATAGCGCCTGATAGTTGTTTTGGAGACTTTGTGACCCCAAGATGCTACCATTTGTTGCAATTCTTTAACAGTGAGCTTTGGAGAACTTTTTATTTCTCTAACCATCCTCCTCACTGTACGTGGTGGCAAAATAACCTTGCGTCCTCGCCCAGGCTTGTTTACCACTGTTCCAGTTGTTTTAAACTTCTTAATGATTCCTCTGACAGTAGATATGGGCAGGTGCAGGCGAGTGGCTATTTTCTTGTAGCCATTGCCTGACTTGTGAAGGTCGACATACATCTGCCTTACTTGAATGGTGTGTTCCTTTGTCTTTCCCATGTTGAAGAGTGGATAAGAGAAATGGCCTCTGCGTCACGTCATATTTATACCCCAGGGAAACAGGAAGTGATGAATTACTAATTAAATTTCCTAGATACTCTGATCAACTTTGTAAACTACAGTAGAAATGACAGAAATACTTCAATTACATTTATTTCCTAGGAGTTGTTAGGGGTGCCAATAATTGTGGAACAGGTGATTTTATGAAAAATAATTATTTCTTAGTCAGGGATTTTTTTTCCCTTAAAATTCACTTGAGTTGAAGGTTACATTTTTCTACAATTTTCAGTGTGAGAGTATGCTTCTGCAATAAAAATTGAATTTATTTTAAGGCTTTTAACACATTTTAACCAGGGGTGCCAATGGAGGGCGCTATACGTCAATACAGGCATACATTCCATCCAAATACAACCAATTTTTTCATTTTTTGAATTTTTAAATATACATATTTTTTATTATTATTTCTGCCAGTCCTGTATACATTTTCCCATTCAAAGATAATACATACAAAGAAAATGAAGTTTGAATCCACTGGAGCAATTTATTTTTTAAAAACCAAATAAACAAAATTATAAATACAAAGGTAAGGTAAAAAAAAAAATGGTAAAAACTAAAAACAACAAAAACCTCAGCAATGATTTACATGAGAAAAATGCTATTACAGCCTAAATAAATACATGCCAATCCAGGATTTGAACCCTGGTCACTGAAGGTGAAGTGCATCACCCTCACCACTAGGCTAGATCAGCTGACCAATTTCCTGCTGTCAAATTGTTGACATAAAGAGTGGGTCAAGAAAACAAGTCAAGAAAACACGCACCCTACTTGTATTGTTGTGCTCTCAGTATTCACACGGAATGACACAAGGATTCCCAGTCAGCTACGACTTTGAAAACAACTGTTGAATATTTAGCGGATAATTAAAACAAAAATTCTACAAATAAACTAGTTAAGTGTTTATATCGTCACGCTATTTAAGTATATTTGAGTGGCCCATGGACTCAGTTTGACGCACCGGGAACGCAAGCCTCTATCTCAGGCTTGGTTTGTGTGATTAAGGTGGTTTAGGGCTCGTTGGAAACGTCAGAGCCCATAAAATCAAATGCCCACCCGCAAAGTCTTACTGACAGCATCGCAAGCTGATCACAGCGAGGAAAATACATTGCGAGTAAGCGGAATACTCTGGACCTGACATCCTCTGAAGCAGTGCCCCGGAAAAAATCATGCATGGAGACTAGCAGACCTAGTTTCGATATAATACGGACATGTTGGGCTAACAATAGAGAATGCAGATTTACCTCGAACACAGTTACTTATTACAAAATATCAAAGGTAAGAAAAATGCTTTGCTCATCTCTGTGGAATGTATGCCTGCTGGTGTTCATTTAAAATGACATGGCTTATATCCTTGGATTCTGTGGACTTTCTCTTACATTTGATGTATTGTTTGTACGCCTAGCACAAATTCAGTAGAAACGCTAGCAATTGAGCACTGATATTATTTTATCCTATGTTTTGCTACATGCTTATTTACTTGCTTGGCGCTTGAAATGTGTTCAGTTGAGGTAAAAATGTTAAACATGAGCTTTTTGCTGAGTTTCTTCCCATAAAGTAGATATACCACATGAAGATGTTGCTATTAGGAAACATGCTATATTAATGTTGCATCATGATCGCCCCCGGTACCAGGGGCGTTCGGGTTTAAGAGCTTAATTATGTATGATTGACATATAGGCTATAAGATATCTGGTAGTTAATACTCTGTAAAACAATGCTTTCATAGTGAGACAGGGAAAAAAGAAAGATAATTGGGCATAAAAAAAATTCCACCAATGTCATTCCCCCCAAATTCAATGTGATGTTACCATTTCATGAGCAGGCCGTGAATGGCCTACAGGCCAGACACTGAGCTATTGAACATGCCGCCATTCAGAAACGTGCAACTACAGCCAATTATTTCGAAGGTACCATTACCGCAATGTGCACTTGTTGTGACTGCAATTCAATTAATTAGTCATTTTCTCTCGGTAATAAGTAACTGATAATGATCTTTCTGTAATTGTATGCCATACCTTTATCTATACTGCAGGCAGTGCACACACAGTAATGTTTGACTTAATTTGTTCTCTTTTCAAATCTTTCTTGAGAGGTCTGGCCTCATCATTACCTAAGGCAGTCCATAATGACAAGGTAGCAGAAACAAGCAGTAACTGCGATAATGTTACACTCCATCAAACTATCCATGATGTAACCCCTAATCCTACTCTTAGTCAGGGTTGTGGGGGGCTGGAGCAGGTCCCAGTATTCAATAGGCAGGTATACACCCTGGACAGTTTTCCAATCCATTGCAAAACACACACACACGCACACACACACACACACACCATTCACTGACACATTCAAACCTATGGGTAATTTAGAGTCTCTAGTTGGCCTATCATGCAAGTCCTTTTGGAGGAAAATGGAGTATCCTGAGGAAACCTGTGAACATGCAACATCAACACAGAAAAGTGACAGACCAGAGTCAAACCCATAACCTTACAGCTCTTAGACCTTAGTGCCACCCACTATGCCACTGAGCAACCCTACAGTCATACTATATGACATACTTTATAGATCTGTGCATGTCATGACAGATGTTCCTGTCATGACATTGACTGAGAAATATGATGGCATTTTTATAACATTGGACATAAACTCACAGCATTTTGTAATGGCAGCTGGAGACAGCCGTAATTCCATGCCTTTGGCAGTGTCATGTCAGCCTCATATGAAAGGGTTTGAGCGAAGTGTATTTTGTCATAGGGGTATGGTTGGGGTGGCACCATAGGACAGTTGATGACACCATCATCAGCAGACAGAAATTCCAGATTCAGAGAGCAATAGTCCTCCCAACATTTTCTTCAGGTCACCTACATTTCCTCATACTATAAGTCTTATACCAGGAGGCAGAAGTAATTAGTCAGCTGCCCATCCCACCAAACATGGACAGAGCAACTTAATTCTAGGGGATGGATAGAGACAGTGAAGGAGAGGGAGGCATTTTCATCTTTCCAATAAAGCCCAATTTGAATTTTAATTTGACTGTGTGTGTGTGAGAGAGAGAGAGAGAGAGAGAAAAGAGAGAGAGAGAGAGAGAGAACAATTGCATCCAGGCAGTGGGTTATACAAGCTGGAGGTTAATTAATGGTTCAGCTGCCAGGGCATGTGGTGGGTGAGAGAGTGAGTGAGAGAGAAACAGAGAAAGACTGAGAGAAAGAATGAGTGCAAGGGAAATAGAGAGTGAAAGAGTTTTTACCCAACTTCATTGTGACACCACAAAAAAATCAACAAACCCAACCTGAAAATGAATAAAAATGAAAGTACTTCGAAAAAATCTGTTTCAGAAAGAAAGGAACATTTAGCCTTTTGTTAGAACTAAACACAGCACCTCCCCAAGACCCCATATTTGTGTGAACCCATCCAAATTTCCAACAAACCTATAGCATGACCATTTATTAGGCCTTTAAACTGGGTCTGTTGAACCCAATCCTCTAATTTTATATTTATTTGAGTGAGAGAGAGAGGGAGAGAGAGAGAGAGAGAAAGAGATTGACAGGTGTATCACAGAGCAGCTGTAGTCTCTGTAGCCTAAGCCTGACTGCAGCAGACCACTGTCTGCCTTACATTACACACAGGGGGCTTTCAGGGGGATAGTTTACCGGGTCACTGGGTTCTCTGTGTCCACCATTTACAAAAAAAAATCATGCTTTCAAAATCCATATGCAAACTCCATGCGAAAAAACATATTTAAGTGAATTGCCCAAGTATATTAGTCATAAATTTACACTGTCTCAACACCAGTGTAAATTATTGTTGACATGAGGAAAGAAAGATAATCTCATGAGAAAAGGTCTGGTTCATGCAAAATTTTATTTTCACAATTTTCACCCACACAACATTAGCTACACTTATCAAGCATGCAGTTTACAAAATTTTAATTTCAAATGAATTATAGCAACCCCACTTTTAGTTCACCCCACCCGAATCCATGAAATATGAAAATGCAAATGAAATAAGTATGAAATTAATTGAATATATTGTTTTCTATATTGCTGAGGACAAGGAGGGCACAGATCCACCAGAAACCCAGCAAAAAAAAAAAAAAAAAAAAAAAAAAAGTATTTCCATTTCTTGAGATTATACAGTGTCCTAGATTTATTTTTTCTGAATGCCTCTTGTAGTGATTAATGTGATCACGACCAGAGACTCGTCCAGTCAATCTCGAGTCCAGTTTCCTCTAAATCAGGCATTAGACAATTAGATCTCTCCCCCTAATGCTCCCGTCATCATTAGGTTTCACTCCCATAATGACCCCTTGCTGAACTATGCTTAGCGGCCCAGAGACAGTGAAGCCCCGATTATAAACTTTTGTTTTTGTAGGAGATTGAGCCAGCTTTGCGGTTGGCCTTTTTAACACAAGAGCTAATGTTAAGCAGGTGCTTGAGTGATGCGTCATTTTGGGAAATGGCTGTGCGGATACTCTAAGCTTTAGGCGGCGGAAGCGGCAATGAATGCCTCGTGCCATTGGCGAGGAACGCAGCAGATATTTCTGCGCAAGCCTCAAGGCTCGATTTTTAACAGCCTCTCAGGATGTAACGCACCGCATGAAGCACAGACAGCAGATGCGTCCAGCTGTCTACCACAGCTGTGTCTTGATGCTGTGCCCACGAGAAGAATTCAAAAGAGAATTCCGGTATGTTCCAGAATGTTCTGTAAGTGTCCTGTACATGGTAATGGCAGGATTGCACCATATTTTCCCCAAGTTCAATGCCGAACACTCTAGCTTTTCACCAAAGTCTTCCCTTAAGTAAGTTCAAAGTCAGAAGAAGCATTTTTTTTTCATGTTGTAGGATAATGTTACATAAATATTCTGTATCTGCTGGTGTAGTTATGGGGACACTGTGCTGCCTGAGGCACTGCCTTTCAGATGAGATGTGAAACTGAGGTCCTGACCCACAGCGGTCATAAAAGATCCCATGGCACTGTTCAGCGAGATAGTAGGGGGTTCCCCGGTGTCATGGCTAAATTCCTAACCTGGCTCTTTCAACCTGTTGTCTAATCATCCTCTGATCTAATTGGCCTGTCTTGCTCCACCTCAGCCGATGTGTGGTGAGCGTTCTGGTGCAAAACGGCTGCCATCGCATCGCTGAGGTGGGTGCTGCACATTGGTGATGTTGAGAGGAGATTACCCCATATGACTGTAAAGTGCTTTCAGAATTTACAAGCAAGCACTAAATAAATGCAAAGTTTATTCATTCATTCAATTTGACTCATTTCAAGATTTCCCAATTGTTCATAAAATGTTCATTGGCAGGCAGGCCACAGCACAATAAACAAGCTACATATAATTATTACTTGAAAAAGAAAAAAATAAGATTTCAATTCTCATCATAAGAATAAAACAGTAAAGACAGGATATCAATGGGGAGTGGGAGAGGCACTTTAAAGTGCAGGGAGGGAGAGTTACAGTTGGCAGGCAGTCGCACTCTTAGACATACAGCACATAGAGTGGTGAGCAGTTAAATCTGCCCAATAATGTTCCTCATTCTCCAACCACTAAAATTTACCTAACACTTGAGACACTTTACTATATAGTATCCAGCTCTGCATCAAGTTTGGTCCTGAAATCTCCCCCTCCTTGCTAGAGTTCCTGCTTCTACTGCATAAGCAGACAATAACTGTACACCGTGACCAGTCTTCACAGGAA